ACAAGGGTTGGGGTGAACGAATGTCAGTCGAACACCCAAACCACAAGGCTATCCGATATGGGTCTCAACGCTTTGTTCAACATATACACTACATGATATAGCACAATCCCCAACTTTGATTCGGATCTCGCTTTCGCTTTGAACGGTAACAACCAAATTCTCGCACACCGATCCAATCCTATGTTCCATCACTTCTCTATTTATGGGCCTAAGTAAAACCAAGGCATTCCCTTATGAACAATCCCCACACAGATTGCTCATACAATGCAATAGAGCAGTAGCAGAGTAGATTTGTATAATATGATTCTCCATGCAGCTTGAACACTGAACTGACCATTGAAAATGATGGAAGCACTGTACAGCTATTTGATCCGCTAAGGGAATCATGAGCATTGCACATGGACAGAGCCCACACGGGGACACGAACAAGGGTTGGCTGAACGAATGTCAGTCGAACACCCAAACCACAAGGCTATCCGATATGGGTCTCAAAGCTTTGTTCAACATATACAATACATGATATAGCACAATCCCCAAATTGGATTCGGCTTTCGCTTTCGCTTTGAACGGTAACAACCAAATTCTCGCGCACCGATCCAATCCTATGTTCCATCACTTCTCTATTTATGGGCCTAAGTAAAACCAAGGCATTCCCTTATGAACAATCCCCACACAGATTGCTCATACAATGCAATAGAGCAGTAGCAGAGTAGATTTGTATAATATGATTCTCCATGCAGCTTGAACACTGAACTGACCATTGAAAATTATGGAAGCACTGTACAGCTGTTTGATCCGCTAAGGGAATCATGAGCATTGCACATGGACAGAGCCCACACGGGGACGCGAACAAGGGTTGGGGTGAACGAATGTCAGTCGAACACCCAAACCACAAGGCTATCCCATATGGGTCTGAACGCTTTGTTCAACATATACACTACATGATATAGCACAATCCCCAAATTGGCTTCGGCTTTCGCTTTCGCTTTGAACGGTAACAACCAAATTCTCGCACACCGATCCAATCCTATGTTCCATCTTTTCTCTATTTATGGGCCTAAGTAAAACAAAGGCATTCCCTTATGAACAATCTCCACACAGATTGCTCATACAATGCAATAGAGCAGTAGCAGAGTAGATTTGTATAATATGATTCTCCATGCAGCTTGAACACTGAACTGACCATTGAAAATTATGGAAGCACTGTACAGCTGTTTGATCCGCTAAGGGAATCATGAGCATTGCACATGGACAGAGCGCACACGGAGACACGAACAAGGGTTGGGGTGAACGATTGTCAGTCGAACACCCAAACCACAAGGCTATCCGATATGGGTCTCAACGCTTTGTTCAACATATACAATACATGATATAGCACAATCCCCAAATTGGCTTCGGCTTTCGCTTTCGCTTTGAACGGTAACAACGAAATTCTCGCACACCGATCCAATCCTATGTTCCATCACTTCTCTATTTATGGGCCTAAGTAAAACCAGGGCATTCCCTTATGAACAATCCCCACACAGATTGCTCATACAATGCAATAGAGCAGTAGCAGAGTAGATTTGTATAATATGATTCTCCATGCAGCTTGAACACTGAACTGACAATTGAAAATGATGGAAGCACTGTACAGCTGTTTGATCCGCTAAGGGAATCATGAGCATTGCACATGGACAGAGCCCACACGGGGACACGAACAAGGGTTGGGGTGAACGAATGTCAGTCGAACACCCAAACCACAAGGCTATCCGATATGGGTCTGAACGCTTTGTTCAACATATACAATACATGATATAGCACAATCCCCAAATTGGATTCGGCTTTCGCTTTCGCTTTGAACGGTAACAACCAAATTCTCGCACACCGATCCAATCCTATGTTCCATCACTTCTCTATTTATGGGCCTAAGTAAAACCAAGGCATTCCCTTATGAACAATCCCCACACAGATTGCTCATACAATGCAATAGAGCAGTAGCAGAGTAGATTTGTATAATATGATTCTCCATGCAGCTTGAACACTGAACTGACCATTGAAAATTATGGAAGCACTGTACAACTGATTGATCCGTTAAGGGAATCATGAGCATTGCACATGGACAGAGCCCACACGGGGACACGAACAAGGGTTGGGGTGAACGAATGTCAGTCGAACACCCAAACCACAAGGCTATCCGATATGGGTCTCAACGCTTTGTTCAACATATACAATACATGATAAAGCACAATCCCCAAATTGGATTCGGCTTTCGCTTTCGCTTTAAAAGGTTACAACCAAATTCTCGCACACCGATCCAATCCTATGTTCCATCACTTCTCTATTTATGGGCTAAGTAAAACCAAGGCATTCCCTTATGAACAATCCCCACACAGAATGCTCATACAATGCAATAGAGCAGTAGCAGAGTAGATTTGTATTATATGATTCTCCATGCAGCTTGAACACTGAACTGACCATTGAAAATGATGGAAGCACTGTAGAGCTGTTTGATCCGCTAAGGGAATCATGAGCATTGCACATGGACAGAACCCACACGGAGACACGAACAAGGGTTGGGGTTAACGATTGTCAGTCGAACACCCAAACCACAAGGCTATCCGATATGGGTCTCAACGCTTTGTTCAACATATACAATAAATGATATAGCACAATCCCCAAATTGGCTTCGGATTTCGCTTTCGCTTTGAACGGTAACAACCAAATTCTCGCACACCGATCCAATCCTATGTTCCATCACTTCTCTATTTATGGGCCTAAGTAAAACCAAGGCATTCCCTTATGAACAATCCCCACACAGATTGCTCATACAATGCAATAGAGCAGTAGCAGAGTAGATTTGTATAATATGATTCTCCATGCAGCTTGAACACTGAACTGACCATTGAAAATGATGGAAGCACTGTACAGCTGTTTGATCCGCTAAGGGAATCATGAGCATTGCACATGGACAGAGCCCACACGGGGGAACGAACAAGGTTCGGGGTTAACATTTCTCACTAGAAAACCCAAACGATAAGTCTATCCGATATGGGTCTCAACGCTTTGTTCAACATATACACTACATGATATAGCACAATCCCCAAATGGGCTTCGGCTTTCGCTTTCGCTTTGAACGGTAACAATCAAATTCTCGCACACCGATCCAATCCTATGTTCCATCACTTCTCTATTTATGGGCCTAAGTAAAACCAAGGCATTCCCTTATGCACAATCCCCACACAGATTGCTCATACAATGCAATAGAGCAGTAGCAGAGTAGATTTGTATAATATGATTCTCCATGCAGCTTGAACACTGAACTGACCATTGAAAATTATGGAAGCACTGTACAGCTGTTTGATCCGCTAAGGGAATCATGAGCATTGCACATGGACAGAGCCCACACGGGGACACGAACAAGGGTTGGGGTGAACGAATGTCAGTCGAACACCCAAACCACAAGGCTATCCCATATGGGTCTCAACGCTTTGTTCAACATATACAATACATGATAAAGCACAATCCCCAAATTGGATTCGGCTTTCGCTTTGGCTTTGAAAGGTAACAACCAAATTCTCGCACACCGATCCAATCCTATGTTCCATTATTTCTCTATTTATGGGCCTAAGTAAAACCAAGGCATTCCCTTATGAACAATCCCCACACAGATTGCTCATACAATGCAATAGAGCAGTAGCAGAGTAGATTTGTATAACATGATTCTCCATGCAGCTTGAACACTGAACTGACCATTGAAAATGATGGAAGCACTGTACAGCTGTTTGATCCGCTAAGGGAATCATGAGCATTGCACATGGACAGAGCCCACACGGGGACACGAACAAGGGTTGGGGTGAACGATTGTCAGTCGAACACCCAAACCACAAGGCTATCCGATATGGGTCTGAACGCTTTGTTCAACATATACAATACATGATATAGCACAATCCCCAAATTGGATTCGGCTTTCGCTTTCGCTTTGAACGGTAACAAAGAAATTCTCGCACACCGATCCAATCCTATGTTCCATCACTTCTCTATTTATGGGCCTAAGTAAAACCAAGGCATTCCCTTATGAACAATCCCCACACAGATTGGTCATACAATGCAATAGAGCAGTAGCAGAGTAGATTTGTATAATATGATTCTCCATGCAGCTTGAACACTGAACTGACCATTGAAAATGATGGAAGCACTGTACAGCTGTTTGATCCGCTAAGGGAATCATGAGCATTGCACATGGACAGAGCCCACACGGGGACACGAACAAGGGTTGGGGTGAACGATTGTCAGTCGAACACCGAAACCACAAGGCTATCCGATATGGGTCTCAACGCTTTGTTCAACATATACAATACATGATATAGCACAGTCCCCAAATTGGCTTCCGCTTTCGTTTTGGCTTTGAACGGTAACAACCAAATTCTCGCACACCGATCCAATCCTATGTTCCATCACTTCTCTATTTATGGGCTAAGTAAAACCAAGGCATTCCCTTATGAACAATCCCCACACAGATTGCTCATACAATGCAATAGAGCAGTAGCAGAGTAGATTTGTATAATATGATTCTCCATGCAGCTTGAACACTGAACTGACCATTGAAAATTATGGAAGCACTGTAGAGCTGTTTGATCCGCTAAGGGAATCATGAGCATTGCACAAGGAGGGAGCCCACACGGGGACACGAACAAGGGTTGGGGTGAACGAATGTCAGTCGAACACCCAAACCACAAGGCTATCCGATATGGGTCTGAACGCTTTGTTCAACATATACAATACATGATATAGCACAATCCCCAAATTGGATTCGGCTTTCGCTTTCGCTTTGAACGGTAACAACCAAATTGTCTGAAAAATCCCACAGAACACATTGAGAATAAACAACGTGGCGAACAAGCTCGTTTTCAGTTATTCGTACTCATACCAATACATAACAATATATATGACTCAAAATAAGAACGGACAATGGCAATCCAAATCTGTCTCTGCACGTGCGTGTGTGCATGTGAAATTGATCACAGTGTGGAATGTTCAAGTGGTTGCACATGTGTTCGGGACCATGACGTGGGCCACGGAAGCTTAAGTGCTTGCACAAATTGTTTCTGAGCGCACAGGGGAGGATTGTAGAGACGAATGCTCACGGCTTCGGCTGTGGCTAAGATGCGACACTTGACAAGTCTTGATTGCTTTCCTCGGACTTTGAAAATGGTGCGAAAAGCGTTTATCACCTCGACTGAGTGGTTTGATTCAACAAGGTGTGAGCACACCGCACTCGTAATTGTCTTAATTGCTCCCGTGTTCAGCCAGGCCGGGTGGTGTTCGCGAACGCGTTCGGATAAGCGCCGAGTCGTGCGACCAATGTACCTAGTTCCACAGGAACAGGTGAAGGAATACACACAAAACGAGGTTGCAGAATTCGGCACTATGTCCTTCAATCGAAAACACACTATCGGTTTGGAAACGAACAGGATTTGCAACTGTGCAGCGTAGAATGTTTTGTTGATAACTCCCGATAATCTTCGTTGAATAATTTCGGCTTCCGTGTCGCCTTTGAACGGTAAACGCGCGTATAGTATCTTCTTGGCGGCTCCTATCTCCTTTGATTTCCCTTCATTTTCTTGCATCGTCTTGTCAATAAACCGTTCAGGATAGCCGTTATTTAAGAAAACACTCCGCAGAAAAACGAGTTCATTTATTATTGTGTCTTCGGAGCAGATTTTTCTTGCTCTGTTAACTAAGCAACGTATTAGATTCCTCTTCATTTTGAGGGGCACAAAGCTGTGAAAATGGATGTATTGTCCGTTCCATGTAGCTTTTCTGTGCACTGATAACTGGACGGAAAAATCATTCCGACGGCTTATGCAAACGTCTAAATACGATAGACTATTGTCCTTTTCTTCTTCCAAAGTAAATTGAACATTGGGATGGGCAGCATTAAAATTGTTAAGAAGCATATTTGTGTCCAGATTGGTATCTAGCACACATATGACGTCGTCTACGTATCGTTTGTACAAGGTAAAATCTCGGATTATGGGTTCAAGTTGATTATTTTCAAGTTTTGCCATGAAAATATCGGCAAATAGGGGCCCCAAAGGCGATCCCATTGCAACTCCGTCCTTCTGACGATAGATTTCACCATTGAACTGAAACTGGATATTATGTGTGCAGACATAGAGTAACTGTTTCAGTTCATCCAACGGGATACCCAAATCGATTCCGTTGCTCTGAATGTAATCGCACAGATAGTTGATTGTTTCACTGATCGGGACATTTGTGAACAGTGAAGTAACATCCAGTGATATCATCCGCTTTTCTTCTAGATCCAGGTTCTTCACAGTTTCTACAAAATGGAAGGTGTCTTGTAGACTGTGCCTAGAAATTGCGGCTCTTACTGGTTCCAATAAGCCCGTCAACCACTTTGCTGCTGCGTGATATGGAGAGTTACACATATCCAGAATCGGTCTCAATGGGACGCCTTCTTTGTGTACCTTAGGTAGACCGTACAATCTGGGAATTACCGTTCCTGTCGGTCGTATCCTTTCGAAGGTCATCGCGTCGATTATTCCTTTCTGTTTCAAGGATCTTATTCTCGTTGAAATCGATTTTTCTATCTGAGACGTCTTATCCTTCTCAGATGGGGTCTTCGTGAACTTGGAGCCATCACTCACTATCACCTTCATCTTCTCTATATAATCCGACCTATTGAGAATTACGATACCCGCACCTTTATCTGGTTTTGACAACATTATTTCTCTATTGGCCTGCAATTCTTTGAGGCTCTTCAGGTGTTCCGACGTTAATAATCCTTTTGCCAACGGTCTATTTTCGCGATATTGATAACATGAGTTCACGAACGTGGACTTCAGTTTCTCTAACTCCTGCGACGAGGACGGAACAAGACCTGATAGCTGATCAAACAGGCTCTCAAACTCAACTTCCATATCCAATTGTTTAGTCTTATTGGTTGGACAACAAAACTTTGGCCCTAGGGATAACACCTCAAGTGATGTCTTATTCAGGCTTATGGATGACAAATTATGGACGAATTTCTTCGGATCTGTAGGGAACTCACCAGTCGGTTTGCTCGGGTTGATACGTTTTCGAAGTTTAACAAATGTCCGTTCCACTTGTTTGTCAACAATTGATTGAATATAGACAACGAACATTTCCTTTTCTTCTAGAGTCAACTCATCAAGTACTCGAGATGATTTCACAAAATTACGCTCCATTTCCGGCACTCGACTTGACACAGTATCTCTCTCATTGAGCGCTTGACGACGTAAAGCTACTGTAGTGATGTTAATTCGATTCCTCTTCAGAACGGTGTGATATTGTTTGGGATATTCTGAATTGGATATGCACTCATCCAGAAACTGAACACGAGCCTTTGCCAGAGCCAATTTCGTACGGAACTTCACGTAACTGTTAAGTTCACGGAGTACGGCTGGGTCTTTGGCCTGCTTAAATTGTCTGAAAAATCCCACAGAACACATTGAGAATAAACAACGTGGCGAACAAGCTCGTTTTCAGTTATTCGTACTCATACCAATACATAACAATATATATGACTCAAAATAAGAACGGACAATGGCAATCCAAATCTGTCTCTGCACGTGCGTGTGTGCATGTGAAATTGATCACAGTGTGGAATGTTCAAGTGGTTGCACATGTGTTCGGGACCATGACGTGGGCCACGGAAGCTTAAGTGCTTGCACAAATTGTTTCTGAGCGCACAGGGGAGGATTGTAGAGACGAATGCTCACGGCTTCGGCTGTGGCTAAGATGCGACACTTGACAAGTCTTGATTGCTTTCCTCGGACTTTGAAAATGGTGCGAAAAGCGTTTATCACCTCGACTGAGTGGTTTGATTCAACAAGGTGTGAGCACACCGCACTCGTAATTGTCTTAATTGCTCCCGTGTTCAGCCAGGCCGGGTGGTGTTCGCGAACGCGTTCGGATAAGCGCCGAGTCGTGCGACCAATGTACCTAGTTCCACAGGAACAGGTGAAGGAATACACACAAAACGAGGTTGCAGAATTCGGCACTATGTCCTTCAATCGAAAACACACTATCGGTTTGGAAACGAACAGGATTTGCAACTGTGCAGCGTAGAATGTTTTGTTGATAACTCCCGATAATCTTCGTTGAATAATTTCGGCTTCCGTGTCGCCTTTGAACGGTAAACGCGCGTATAGTATCTTCTTGGCGGCTCCTATCTCCTTTGATTTCCCTTCATTTTCTTGCATCGTCTTGTCAATAAACCGTTCAGGATAGCCGTTATTTAAGAAAACACTCCGCAGAAAAACGAGTTCATTTATTATTGTGTCTTCGGAGCAGATTTTTCTTGCTCTGTTAACTAAGCAACGTATTAGATTCCTCTTCATTTTGAGGGGCACAAAGCTGTGAAAATGGATGTATTGTCCGTTCCATGTAGCTTTTCTGTGCACTGATAACTGGACGGAAAAATCATTCCGACGGCTTATGCAAACGTCTAAATACGATAGACTATTGTCCTTAAGCTTCCGTGGCCCACGTCATGGTCCCGAACACATGTGCAACCACTTGAACATTCCACACTGTGATCAATTTCACATGCACACACGCACGTGCAGAGACAGATTTGGATTGCCATTGTCCGTTCTTATTTTGAGTCATATATATTGTTATGTATTGGTATGAGTACGAATAACTGAAAACGAGCTTGTTCGCCACGTTGTTTATTCTCAATGTGTTCTGTGGGATTTTTCAGACAATTTAAGCAGGCCAAAGACCCAGCCGTACTCCGTGAACTTAACAGTTACGTGAAGTTCCGTACGAAATTGGCTCTGGCAAAGGCTCGTGTTCAGTTTCTGGATGAGTGCATATCCAATTCAGAATATCCCAAACAATATCACACCGTTCTGAAGAGGAATCGAATTAACATCACTACAGTAGCTTTACGTCGTCAAGCGCTCAATGAGAGAGATACTGTGTCAAGTCGAGTGCCGGAAATGGAGCGTAATTTTGTGAAATCATCTCGAGTACTTGATGAGTTGACTCTAGAAGAAAAGGAAATGTTCGTTGTCTATATTCAATCAATTGTTGACAAACAAGTGGAACGGACATTTGTTAAACTTCGAAAACGTATCAACCCGAGCAAACCGACTGGTGAGTTCCCTACAGATCCGAAGAAATTCGTCCATAATTTGTCATCCATAAGCCTGAATAAGACATCACTTGAGGTGTTATCCCTAGGGCCAAAGTTTTGTTGTCCAACCAATAAGACTAAACAATTGGATATGGAAGTTGAGTTTGAGAGCCTGTTTGATCAGCTATCAGGTCTTGTTCCGTCCTCGTCGCAGGAGTTAGAGAAACTGAAGTCCACGTTCGTGAACTCATGTTATCAATATCGCGAAAATAGACCGTTGGCAAAAGGATTATTAACGTCGGAACACCTGAAGAGCCTCAAAGAATTGCAGGCCAATAGAGAAATAATGTTGTCAAAACCAGATAAAGGTGCGGGTATCGTAATTCTCAATAGGTCGGATTATATAGAGAAGATGAAGGTGATAGTGAGTGATGGCTCCAAGTTCACGAAGACCCCATCTGAGAAGGATAAGACGTCTCAGATAGAAAAATCGATTTCAACGAGAATAAGATCCTTGAAACAGAAAGGAATAATCGACGCGATGACCTTCGAAAGGATACGACCGACAGGAACGGTAATTCCCAGATTGTACGGTCTACCTAAGGTACACAAAGAAGGCGTCCCATTGAGACCGATTCTGGATATGTGTAACTCTCCATATCACGCAGCAGCAAAGTGGTTGACGGGCTTATTGGAACCAGTAAGAGCCGCAATTTCTAGGCACAGTCTACAAGACACCTTCCATTTTGTAGAAACTGTGAAGAACCTGGATCTAGAAGAAAAGCGGATGATATCACTGGATGTTACTTCACTGTTCACAAATGTCCCGATCAGTGAAACAATCAACTATCTGTGCGATTACATTCAGAGCAACGGAATCGATTTGGGTATCCCGTTGGATGAACTGAAACAGTTACTCTATGTCTGCACACATAATATCCAGTTTCAGTTCAATGGTGAAATCTATCGTCAGAAGGACGGAGTTGCAATGGGATCGCCTTTGGGGCCCCTATTTGCCGATATTTTCATGGCAAAACTTGAAAATAATCAACTTGAACCCATAATCCGAGATTTTACCTTGTACAAACGATACGTAGACGACGTCATATGTGTGCTAGATACCAATCTGGACACAAATATGCTTCTTAACAATTTTAATGCTGCCCATCCCAATGTTCAATTTACTTTGGAAGAAGAAAAGGACAATAGTCTATCGTATTTAGACGTTTGCATAAGCCGTCGGAATGATTTTTCCGTCCAGTTATCAGTGCACAGAAAAGCTACATGGAACGGACAATACATCCATTTTCACAGCTTTGTGCCCCTCAAAATGAAGAGGAATCTAATACGTTGCTTAGTTAACAGAGCAAGAAAAATCTGCTCCGAAGACACAATAATAAATGAACTCGTTTTTCTGCGGAGTGTTTTCTTAAATAACGGCTATCCTGAACGGTTTATTGACAAGACGATGCAAGAAAATGAAGGGAAATCAAAGGAGATAGGAGCCGCCAAGAAGATACTATACGCGCGTTTACCGTTCAAAGGCGACACGGAAGCCGAAATTATTCAACGAAGATTATCGGGAGTTATCAACAAAACATTCTACGCTGCACAGTTGCAAATCCTGTTCGTTTCCAAACCGATAGTGTGTTTTCGATTGAAGGACATAGTGCCGAATTCTGCAACCTCGTTTTGTGTGTATTCCTTCACCTGTTCCTGTGGAACTAGGTACATTGGTCGCACGACTCGGCGCTTATCCGAACGCGTTCGCGAACACCACCCGGCCTGGCTGAACACGGGAGCAATTAAGACAATTACGAGTGCGGTGTGCTCACACCTTGTTGAATCAAACCACTCAGTCGAGGTGATAAACGCTTTTCGCACCATTTTCAAAGTCCGAGGAAAGCAATCAAGACTTGTCAAGTGTCGCATCTTAGCCACAGCCGAAGCCGTGAGCATTCGTCTCTACAATCCTCCCCTGTGCGCTCAGAAACAATTTGTGCAAGCACTTAAGCTTCCGTGGCCCACGTCATGGTCCCGAACACATGTGCAACCACTTGAACATTCCACACTGTGATCAATTTCACATGCACACACGCACGTGCAGAGACAGATTTGGATTGCCATTGTCCGTTCTTATTTTGAGTCATATATATTGTTATGTATTGGTATGAGTACGAATAACTGAAAACGAGCTTGTTCGCCACGTTGTTTATTCTCAATGTGTTCTGTGGGATTTTTCAGACAATTTAAGCAGGCCAAAGACCCAGCCGTACTCCGTGAACTTAACAGTTACGTGAAGTTCCGTACGAAATTGGCTCTGGCAAAGGCTCGTGTTCAGTTTCTGGATGAGTGCATATCCAATTCAGAATATCCCAAACAATATCACACCGTTCTGAAGAGGAATCGAATTAACATCACTACAGTAGCTTTACGTCGTCAAGCGCTCAATGAGAGAGATACTGTGTCAAGTCGAGTGCCGGAAATGGAGCGTAATTTTGTGAAATCATCTCGAGTACTTGATGAGTTGACTCTAGAAGAAAAGGAAATGTTCGTTGTCTATATTCAATCAATTGTTGACAAACAAGTGGAACGGACATTTGTTAAACTTCGAAAACGTATCAACCCGAGCAAACCGACTGGTGAGTTCCCTACAGATCCGAAGAAATTCGTCCATAATTTGTCATCCATAAGCCTGAATAAGACATCACTTGAGGTGTTATCCCTAGGGCCAAAGTTTTGTTGTCCAACCAATAAGACTAAACAATTGGATATGGAAGTTGAGTTTGAGAGCCTGTTTGATCAGCTATCAGGTCTTGTTCCGTCCTCGTCGCAGGAGTTAGAGAAACTGAAGTCCACGTTCGTGAACTCATGTTATCAATATCGCGAAAATAGACCGTTGGCAAAAGGATTATTAACGTCGGAACACCTGAAGAGCCTCAAAGAATTGCAGGCCAATAGAGAAATAATGTTGTCAAAACCAGATAAAGGTGCGGGTATCGTAATTCTCAATAGGTCGGATTATATAGAGAAGATGAAGGTGATAGTGAGTGATGGCTCCAAGTTCACGAAGACCCCATCTGAGAAGGATAAGACGTCTCAGATAGAAAAATCGATTTCAACGAGAATAAGATCCTTGAAACAGAAAGGAATAATCGACGCGATGACCTTCGAAAGGATACGACCGACAGGAACGGTAATTCCCAGATTGTACGGTCTACCTAAGGTACACAAAGAAGGCGTCCCATTGAGACCGATTCTGGATATGTGTAACTCTCCATATCACGCAGCAGCAAAGTGGTTGACGGGCTTATTGGAACCAGTAAGAGCCGCAATTTCTAGGCACAGTCTACAAGACACCTTCCA